CCCCAAAACCCCAAAACCCCAAATTCAATTTGTCAAAAATATTAATTTAATTGAAATTTGATATTATTTAGTTGTCTCATTAAAGAAATTAATTAAATTTCTGATTGATTGAAATTTTCAAAAACTCCAAATTCTTGCTGTTTTATCAGAAGATGAACTTAGCAGTAGGTTATCTGAGGTGTTAAATCTGATTGAAACTATTTTATCATCGTGACTTTGCTAAGATAATTACTCCATTCTAGCACCTGCTTAATTAATTTCAACTTTGAAAACTAAAAATAATCATCGATTTATAATAGTTACCTTTAATAAGATAGTCAAATCCGGCTGAAGCTAAAAATCTATCATTATTTGACCAGCAGACTCCTCGACATTCCCCTTGATGAGATTATTATTTAAATACAAATTTCCTCATATTTAAATCCCAAATTGATACCATCCCATCATTATGGCCAACTGCAGCTTCCACTAAAATTGATTAGATTAAATGCTCATCATACATTAATGATTAATCGTTATTTCATTCATAATAGAAAGTCCAGGACTAGAGAGATTACCAACCATCTTATTCTATCTTAGATCCCAAAGCAGTATTCTCTGGTCTACTCCCACAGAAGAGATCAACTCACCGTCATGTGAGCATTTTATAGAGTGAATATCATTCTGATGTCCTTATAGTTATTGAACTTGAGTACCTTTAACACAATCCCAGACTCTTATATACTAATCTCCTTGACCTCCAGAAAGTATCAAAGCTGGATTTTTCTTTTCAAAAGTTACACTTCTAATAATTCCTTGATGACCTGTCATAGTTATCACCTTAAGCCTAAAATCCTTTTACTCTAAAGGATCTAGCTTTGGTACTTAAAATACCTTGACCATCTTATCCGCAGAGCCACTACAAATTAAATTATTTGTGCTTTCCCAATCTATAGTGTATATTCCTCCTTGATGATGATTTTTGCAATCATAAACTACATGCAACTGCTCTGTCTCATTCTAATTTCTTAAATTCTAGTCAGGCAATCTGCATATCTTAATAGACTTTGAGTTAGTACCCACGGCTATATAATCGTTGTTGGGACAAAAACAGGCAGCTCTGATAATTGCACCTTCATTCAAATAGCCAGAAAGTTTGACCTTGGCAAGTCTGATTTCCATTTATTCTATATCTCTATTGATAATCGCCTGTTTAGATTCTTCGTCATCTATTTGCCCTAAATTACCAAACTACTCCGGGTTAATCTGGCTAGGTATAATATTTTCATGACTTTCATCAATTAAATTAGGGTAATTTAGATCCTACTTCATTATCTCATCATCCACTGAGATCATATCCTTGTCGAAATCTTCATTATTATTGTTGTTGTTACAATTATTATCTCCAACTATGCTTTTGTCACAACTACTTTTATTATCCTTGCTTGGAGAGCTGATCTTTTAATTTTCTTCTCCTTTCTCACTGCAGCTTACTGATCTTGACTTGGCATCTTTGAAATGAGATTATGTTTTTAAATACTTACCTATATTCTACTTATTATGGCTTGTATTTTGAGACATGACCTAAGGTGTTTAGTTGGTTACTTCTTAATTCTGTTTGCAATTGCGAAGATACCAGACTGGGGAAACTGATTTTTAATCATCGTATTTTTGTAATTTCGAAGCAAGTTTATTCTAGAAATCATTACTCAGGGTTTCTGAATTGCTCAGACTTTTCCTTGAACTTGTTTACTAATTTGATATTTGTGATTACTATGATGAAACTTTACCAATGTTATTTGAAAAATTCTCCTAATTGCTTTGCTGCAACTAACTTACTTAAATGTTCATATTTGAGTTCATATTAAGCGAGTTCTCCTTGGTATTAAGTGTTTAAAGATTTGTATCTTTGCTCTACAGCATATAATCAGCAGTTGCCTTCAGCTAGTTGCTCTTGCAAAAACTCATCTGGCTACTTGCTAAGTTAATGAGATTCTAACTGCTATTCTCTAATGACTGTTATTGAGACTACTAATGAGGGTTTTACTTTAATCCTCCATTGATTTTGCTGAAACTTTAATTAGGCCTTTTGATATCTGTTTACTGTGAGTTAATCCTACTTTCTCGTTTGCTTTCAGATTTTTTATCTGACTGACTCTTATTAATTTGGTTTGCTGATTGAGATGCTTGCTGCTACTTGCTATTATCCTAATTGATAAACTCACTCAGGTAAAACTCATCACTAATTTCTTCGTTTTAGCTATCACAACTAGTAGCAAGTTTTAGCTTTTATACCTAAGAGTCTGGAGGTTGATCCTGGTGCTAATTGGTCTTAATTTCCTTAAGCATGATTTCTATTTCAGGCATATGCTCCTAGATGAAGTTTTGTTGAGTTGAAGTGCTGACCATATCTCTTAGTAGACAAGCTTCATGAGATTGTCTAATTGGATCAAATCTAAATATAGCTTTTTAGCCTCTTTGCTTTGCTACTAAATACTAATAATGCACCGAGTCTTGTACTAATTTCTCTAGTCTTTTTGGGATAACCACTCTCTTCTATTGTCTAATTTAAGAGTTTTAAACTTTGACCTTGATATCTTCAATTAATTCTTGTCAACTCTACTCTATATTCCATCCATTATTTTGCAGATTATCATTATGTTCATGTACATCCTTTACTTCATATTCTTCGAGACCAAATTATTTGGCGAGTTTACTTTGCTTACTTATTATTTTATGCAAAATTGCAGTTTCACCTTTGACCGTACATTCATTGATCTACTAAATGTAAATCCTATTCACGTATTCCTTAATTTCATCGAATTTAAGATCCTAGTTGAACTACACCAGTTCTCTAACTTTATCCCATTTCCCTTTAAAGACTAATAGTGACAAATGATTCAAGAATTTGTTTGCATTTTCCCGAGATTTAGGATCATTCTTTGCTAGCTTGATATTTGTTTCACATTCAAGATAATGCAGAGACTTGTTGAAGTTATGCTATTTCAAGTAATCCTAAATGGAATTAGCATTTTACAAATCTCTTACCAGTATTAATAAGATGATTTAGTTATGACTAATTTCTAAGATGACCATTAGAAAAACTCTGATAGAGAGATTATAAATTAAAATGCTTTCAATGAATTTTTGTAACTAAAATAGTGTAAGAGAGGAATTAATTTGTTAAGCTAAATTATTGCACAAATTTATGCACATATGGGGTTTTGGGGTTTTGGGG